ATGCTTCAGGAGTTGATAGTGTATGTCCTGTAGCAGTATCGTGAGCCTGATCAAGGACAGTATGAAGCTCATGGATTGAAAAAAAAATCATTATAATCTTCCCCATTATCTGATTGTACATAGTTTGAGGAGGAAGAATGTTTTGCTAACGTTTCACCAAGTTTATTTGCAATATCCGATTTGTTAGTTAATAGGTCATCCCCATTCTTAAGATGGTGGACGCTAGATTTCGAACCCTTACCTTTAATTTTCTCTATCATATTCCATACCTTAGACATGGGCGTTCGTGAATTTATTTTTGAAACATAATCACGCCAAGATTGGCGTTTATTATGTTTAAAAGTACGCCTGGCTTTAGCATTTGAAATTTGAAATTGATTCAAATTATGGACCATCGGATGGCGACGGAAATAACGCTCAGCCTTTTTCAGTGCCTTCCTAGCTTGCCTGCAGTCATTGTTAAACCATGGTTTACGGATGTGTGGATTTGCAGAGGACTTTGGAATACAATCATCAGCTATTTTGTACAGTTCATCAGTGAACACCGTAATACAATCAGGAACATCAACAAAAAGACCAGGATTTAATTTTCTCGTACAAAGTAATTTGAACAAAGGCCAGTTAGCCTTTGTGAAGTTCCATCGTGATGATGGAGGAACATCAGTTGGAATTATTGTTTGAAGAATAGTCGGAAAATGGTCACTTCCACAAACGTCGTCGTGGACTGACCATTCGAATTCATTCAACATATCGGAGGTGGTAAGTGATAAATCAAGAGAAGAATATGTGCCTGTTCCAGGATAAGTTTTAGAGTTATCATTAAAGATGCATAAATCGTTGTTCGAAATGAAATCTTCTAATATCTTACCTTTACTGTTCGTGTCAGCACTACCCCAAAGTGGATTATGCCCTTTCAAATCGCCCATAATGATACAGGGCTTGGGGAGCTGGTCATAGAGTGCCTGAAGATGAGTTTGGTGAAGAGTAGAAGATGGAGGTACATAAAGCGAACACAATGTGAAAACAATGTTGAGGCTTAAACGGACTGCAACAGCTTGAAGTGGAGTATTAAGTGGAACAGGGCTATGTATGACACCCTGCCTCACCAACACTGACGATCCTCCAGTAGCCCTAGGTCCTGGAGGAGAAAGAAGTTATATGCATCATATTGCCTCAAATTGATTTGATCATTATCTTTAAAATACGTTTCTTGTAAACAAAATGCTGATGGTTTAAAATCCTGTATCAGTAACTGTAAATCATTAAAATTATTCTTTAGTCCCCTGCAATTCCACTGAATAAGAGTATTGGAGCCATTCATGGAGGCTCAACTGGAGTTCTTGAGTGAGAGGGAGGTCCACTCCCACGAACCGGGAGTGAGGGACTGACCTCCATCGCTAGAGGCTCAAATGGATTATGAACCTCTACTATGGTGTCAGCAAGAGAAGGCAATTCCAAGTGCTGGAGAGCCCTTATCTTTTTTAACTTCTATTTTTCTGTTTTAGTCAGATGGGCTTCGCCCTGAATGTTTTTGGTGACTTTCACATGGCTGGGTTCTGATGGAGTTACCGTTTTCTGAGTTTGCAGAATCTGAGGTGCTGATGTTAGATGGTCTGTCTGGGAAGCTGAAGTAGATTTCATAGATTGGGATGTCTGTGCATCGTCGATGGTAAACTGGTCATCTTTTACCCAAGAGATCAAAGTATGGCAGGATGTAGAGGCTGTAGTAATTTTGAGAACTGGCGGCGGAGAAGAGACTGCAGCTGAACAAGTGATATTTGCGGGTGATTTTGATGGAAGTTGCACCAATTGTTTGGCAGCAGAGTAAGAAATATTTTGCGTGTGCTTCAGTTTTAAGATCTGTGATTCTGATACGAACACTGGACATGATTTGGATGAGGCCACATGCTCCCCGTCGCAGTTGGCACACTTGACATCATCTGTGCACTCGGAACCTTCGTGAATTCCACTGCAACGGAAGCATCTGGCCTTGCGAGTGCAAGTTTTTGCCCCGTGTCCAAACTGTTGACACTTGTAACACCGGAGAGGATGTGGAACATAAACCTCCACTCCGATGTTAAAGTAACCGGCTTTAATGGAATTTGGTATTTTAGCAAGACAAAAAGTAAAAAGATACGTGTTAGTTGGGATAATTTTTCCATCTTCTGATTTTCTGCTGAACCGCTTAACAGCAGTGACCCCTTGATGTTTCAATTCAGCAGCAATGTCTTCTTCTGCCATGTCAGAAAGACAGCGTGCGCGGTCCCTGACAATGCCTCTACTTGAATTCAGTGTCCTGTGCACCGAAACAACAACCTGGGTGTTAACAAACTGCTGTAGACCCAGCAGATTGACAGATTGTTGTCTCCGTGCACATTCCACAAGGATGGAACCAGAACGAAGACGTGTAACATTGGTAACTTCTCCACAGGCACTTTGAATGCCTTTCGAGATAGCGAAAGGATTTAGTTTTAAAGGATTGCCATCAGCAGATGCGATGCCAATGAATCTCGGCCAAGAATCTGCAATCTCAGTTGATGTTTCTTCTTTGTCAGACGTTATAGAATCGACATGACGACGTTTATTTGGTTTGAAAGAACCAGATAGATTGTGGTGAGCCATGGTGTTATGTAGTGATTCAGCACCCCTGCTCCCCACCCGCCATCGAGTGTCAACAAGGACGATGTCAAAGTGGAAGCCAACCTGCAACACCAGGGATACAGAGGTGTTATACTCCAGAAAATATAGACTTGAAAAGCTATGAGATCAAAAGGAATAAGCGTCAGGCTGGTTCGGCCCATAACACTTTCCCCAAGAAACACAGAATTCAGAGGTCTCTATAGCTATCTCCAGATTGGCCCATGAGCCATCGCCTTCTGGCATACGACTCTAGGCAAACATGAACAAAACAATGATTTTGATAACAAAGTTTAGCGTGCAATTATATTCTTAATAATATAGCCATGTATTTCATGCTAGGGCATGACGTGACCAGCCGATTGATAGAATCGGGCCAATTCTATCACCCGTCTAGGCGAAGTAAGGGTCGAAGTGGTGTGTTGGGCAAAAGGAACACTTGTTCCTGGCTCCAATGCCCTCAACCACCAGAATCCCGTCCTCCGCCGACACAGGGGCGCAACCCACGGCAAACGGGTTACCCAATTCGGTCGCCTTTTACGACCAGCAATGGGGTGCTGTGGACAAATTCTACCCCGAGTCCACACGGGGGAAGAGCTATTAGCATTACCCAGCATTCACCACGGGGAGGTTGCTCTTCACGAATGCCCCGTCAATATGAAGCTTAAGTGATGTTGCTACGTGTATGTACGCCTGATCAAATAGCATCAGGATTAACGAGCCTGTATGTAGTTTGTAAGTAAATGGAACGCGTCACTACCCCTGTTCATATCAAAGTATGCTACCATTTTCGAAATTTGAAGTATAGAGCTGACTGAGAATTACAAGCAAGATGTTTTCCGAGGAAACCACTATTATAAGATTAACTGGCATATTATGTATGCCATTGGTAAGTGAGTCCATTTGTCCTGCTCATTATACCAGTTCGGTGCTGCTCAAATATGCTATATATACAAAACGACTAATTGTCTTGGTGACAGCGACTTAAAACTCAACTACATTTCATCATGAACTTCTTCAGTCACTGCAAACCACGTTCCAATGTTGTTATATATGTGTGAGTGAGTGAGTTTGGTTTAACGCCGACCAGAACTGTGGTTCAGCTTTGTCACGACCAGACACTGTTGCCTGACGTACCTCTAGTCCATCCTTTCAGTTTCCTTTTTTAAATACCATGTTAAACACGTCTCATTCCGAATCATGTGAGTAGGTAATTGCGTTTGATGAAACGCCGCTTTGAACAATGTTTCAGTTATGTCACATCGTGTTAGCCGTATATATGAGGTAAGTCCAGTTATGCGTTGAGCATTTACCAATCTGGTGAAACCAATGAGCAAGTATATGATGGTGACTGACACTCGAACCCCATCAAAGCGAACTAGGGTTTGAACAAGGATTATAGGTTTCTCTCACGCCGGAACGTACTTTTTGTTGACTATGAACGTCTAAATATACACATTACTAGTATATAATTAAACATTAGGCTTGGTTTGTGTCGTGGAACATATACTATGAAATAGGTCTAGAATCATTTCATAATTATACCCAAATCGGAATTGAATGAAACCTTCCGAAAAAGACCAAGGGTCCCCAGTAATCTCAAGTGCATATGTGTGTCTTCCTTTACAATGGCCCCCTCCCAATCCGTACCCTCAAATATCCAACTATTATTATATTTCGTTTGATAGCATCACCCCAGCCCTTGTGAGAAAACATCTGGATTTTCCTTTCACTTTAGATCGCCATTCAACTAACAAATGTGCTCCAAGCGGCGTTGAAGTCATCTCCTCTTACTCGCTGAAGAAGACAGAGTTCGTCCTACACAGGGGGATCGATCCATGTATTGATCATTTGGTAACAATTGTCATATGCATTGGAAGTACAATGACAATTCAAGCGAGGTGACATTATAATGAATTGTATATATATATAAATTGATATGCGCTATTAGTATAAAGGGCCATTGGGCTACAGTATATGAAAAACTCATCACAGAGAATAGTTACAAATGATATTTTCTCGCTGTCTGATGTAGAAATTGAAGACAGTGACAAAAGTGTTAAAAAATAGGGATATTTCCTAACCATTTCAGTTTACATGACATTTGTGATGAAGTAATAAACACGACATGGGCAACTTTATACATAGAACGGCTACAGATCAAGCACGATGAGTACATAAATGAATGATTATCCATAACGCAGCATCGATTTAAGGACGGAGTGCAACATTGTAACATTTAAATATTTATTGCCAAGCACGTATTAACTGCAAATCAATAATGTTTATAGCTTCGAAATGTTTATGAATTTCAAGTACTTGGGAACTCAGCCCATGGAATAAGCGACACAATGTGTCAACACATGAATACTTACAGAAGGTCTACGTCAGAACTTGATATATGCCTGAGTCAGTACAATACCTCCTGGTGTGGTTACATTAATGACAGGTAACCTGGAGGATTTTGCGCTACCTGTTATACCAACACTCAAGATTTGCCATACACATAACACGCCGTGTGGTCAGATGTAAATGTCGTGGATGGATTAACATCGTTACAGAGTTTGGTGACAGACACAGCACCGGTACTTAGAGGCCGGAATTTCCGTTTAGTTTTCGAATCAGTAATTCTGGTCGGTGGAAGAGCGCATTGACTTTCGCGATGGTTCGTCTTTTATTTTGCATAGCATGTTTCCTGCTTGTGACTCCAAACAGGGTGAGAGGTAAGTTATGTACACATCTTTACATTCAATCTGAAAATGTCGATTTCAGGATATAACCCAATGCATAAATCTACATGTAGAATATTGCAATTTAAAAATGCACATAATCGCATACCTTACCTGAAACAACTACATACTAGCGATATCGTTCCGGAGATCGAGACAAATGGAGTGTCGATATTTGACCATAAGTATTATCGGCAGAGATTCCAACGGGACCATGAAGCTACGTGTAAAGACATTTACGTTAAGTCGCATATTCCAATGGATATCATGTATTGACAAGTCAAACAAACATTCTAAATGAAAACAATTGATGAAAATAAAGCTTTCATAGAATACTTCATGTACTGGAATTGCCTTGAACACCAATTAAATCTATGCTCGCTATAATTGAACTGCTGTGAACTATCATTGCACTTGTGTGTCTTCAGAATTTCTTTTCATGCAAAGAAATGGTCGCATTAACATGCTTGATCTGTCTTTGTATCATGTTTGCAATCTGTCTACAATGTGTCTATGCTTTATCATTTACCAGTAGCATTGTGCTTTTACGCTAAATGAATCGTACAGGCATCAACATTATTCTTCAGGATATTATACGATACTTTCTTCCTCATAGGGTATGCACTAGATGCAGCAACGTACATGAAAGAAACAGATAAACTTTAATTGTTTGCTTGTTCTCTCCTCAGGCCAAGCCTGTCCCTCGGGTGATAATGGTAAGTATTATTCTGGATGGTCTTGGGTTTAGCGCCGCTTTGAACGGTATTTCAGATCTCGCGGTATATCTTGATCGGCTCAGGATGAAAGCTCACATTGTTAATGCTCTTGCTGGGGGATGATCACAACTGAGAGCAATCTTGCATTCGAACACAAGATCAGCGGATCCTAGCCTGTTAGGAAATGCAACCCTGGACAGCAAGTATATATATATGCTACCGAATCCATGCCTGCCATTTTTGCCAACTGTAACCGTTCGGTGTTACTATGAGGGCAATTACACAACATACCATGTCTATCAAGCTGTTGATAAGGTATCCGTAAACATATGGTCTGGTTTACATATGCTTTTCCAAATAAACTATACAGCATGTCATTGCTTGTGTACATAATTTGCACTTACTTTTCTCATTACCTAAAAAAAATTAATATCTGCGGTTATTATTATGTCAAACAGAACAATTAACATTTAACATAGCATAACATGGCATAAATCTTATCAATGTCATTAGCAATGCATGACATCAAATATATATGTATATTGCTCTCTGTGAAAACATTGTAATACAAGTCGAAAGGAGAAACTCATATTCGTAATAATGTTGGACGTAACAGAATGACACATAGCACATAACCAAAAAAAATGGAAGAGACAAGTCAACAAATATTCTTAATTTACTTGAAATATGTTAAATGTTATTTCAGTGGTCCATGTTTGTCAGCCTGAAACCAAAGAAGGAACATCCATACAGGTGGATGGGTCCACGGCCAAGGGTTTCCATGGACAATGTGTGTGTGAGGTGCATGCCGTGGGTAGGGCTGTTGTTGTCACGATGTCAGCACCGGTGGTACCAGCTGCCCAATGCGGCGCTCTGGTCTTTTCTACAGAAATTGGCTTTACTGCTCACTGTGGTAATCCGGTGCCAACAGTTTCAGGCAGTATAGGAACTGAACAAAATGCCTTCCTCACTATTGCAACGGAAAAGGAGGACACGAATTCTGCCTATTGTGTTAAAGTGGAGAAAGAATCCGGAGGTAAGTTACGCTTGTCATATGATGATATCTCATCCGTAAAACGTAAATTGACTGTACTGTACCGATCTCTTGCCTTTTTTGACTACATTGTGTTTCTAATTTACAGACGGTCAACTTAGAGTCACCTGTACGGAAATCACCAATGCTGACCGCGCTGACAAAGCAACTACAACCACAACAGCCACAGCAGCCACAACTTCTAAATCAGGAGGAGACATCGTTTCTGGTTCAGGAGATGACACCACTTCTAGATCAGAAGGAGACACCACGTCTAGTTCAGCAGGAGACACCACGTCGAGTTCAGGAGGAGACACCACTTCTAATTCAGGAGGCGACGCCACGTCTAGTTCAGGAGGAGACATCACTTCTAGTTCAGTAGAAGACACCACTTCTAGTTCAGGAGGAGACACCACTTCTAGTTCAGGAGGAGACACCACTTCTAGTTCAGGAGCAGACACCACTTCGAATTCAGGAGGCGACGCCACGTCTAGTTCAGGAGGAGACATCACTTCTAGTTCAGTAGAAGACACCACTTCTAGTTCAGGAGGGGACACCACGTCTAGTTCAGGAGAAGACACAACGTCTAGTTCAGTAGAAGACACCACTTCTAGTTCAGGAGGAGACACCACGTCTAGTTCAGGAGGAGACACAACGTCTAGTTCAGGAGGAAACACCACGTCTAGTTCAGTAGGAGACAACACTTCTAGTTCAGGAGGAGACACTAAGTCTAGTTCAGGAGGAGACACCACGTCTAGTTCAGGAGGAGACACCACTTCTAGTTCAGGAGGGAACATCACTTCTACCTCTGGAGGGAACATCACTGCTAGTTCAGGAGAAAGTGGAAATGGAACTACACCTAGTTCAAAACCAGGTGGAAATTGTTCAGATGCAGGCGGATCAGGTGCAAATTGTACGGAAAATGCGAGCAAACAGACAGATATTGCAAGCAATTCAAACTTAGGTAAATATTATACAATGGAATTGTTGAATGTGCAAATTTGCTTTGCAATTATCCACAAACATATTAACATACTTAAAATTTCAGAATAACATAATAGAATAACCTATCCTGTTTACCATGTTTTAGAAGGCCCTATCGTTGTCGGTGCCTTAGGAGGAATTATAGCCCTGCTGGTGCTCCTCGGTGCCATAGTTTACTTGAGGTAAGTCATGTTATATTTGTGAACTGAAAAAGCATTTAAAGGTCAAACATAATGTGAATCAGAACGTGGCTATGGTTTGTTTTTATCGCCGAAAGAATATAAAAAGATTCCGGGGAAAATACGTATAAACACCTTCGCTAACATTTTGCTTTGACATAACTGACGTAACGTCCAATTCACCCACACCTAATCACAAAGGTGTCATGAACAATGTTATACCTCAGTTCAAAGAAAACCATGTGGTCATTTGAGAGGTTGACAACAAACTGTTTCAATTCTCGTCACGAACCCCGTGGATAGTTCCCTAGCTCCACACGAAGAGCCGGTTGATAATGGTCGGGTGGTTAAAATGCTCTGGTGCTAAAATGGTCCGACGGAGTGGATCGTTGTCCAATGTTAACTTTAACATAACTCCACATTTACAACATTTCTATGTTGGTCCGTGGATCCAGGACATTCAAAGTTCCTGTATTGGCATTTCAAACATTTGACACATTTCAGTTCTGTTTATTTATTTTAAACTGCATATAAAACAAATGTAACCATAAAAGCATGTGATGGTGTGGATGTTTTCAACTCACACATTTTGTTTTTATTCAGGGATAGATCTCGAGCGAGGAAAATAGCAGAAACAGCAAGACAAAATCGCATCAGGCACAGTTACGAAAGAATGTAATCATCGGAGTTGGATTGTTATGTTGTAAGAGTACCATCATTTCTTCAATATCACAGAAACTCAAGGCAAAAGTTTCTTGACTTATGACGTGTGTACATTTGCAAAATTCAGCAATGATTTTGAGTCTTTTTGTTTATGTCTCAATGGTATTAAGTCGCTTACTACAAGGAATCACGAGTTTAATCGTATATGATATGTGATACATGTTCTAATAAGAATATGTTCACATGTGATAACTGTTTTACAAAGCTCATTTCATGTGATTCTGTAACAGTTATACTTTGTTAACTGATTTATGATATAAGGGGCGGACCATTTGCTATTTAGCGGGGGTGGGTGGGGGGTAGGCTTTTTTGGGGGGTAGAGTCCTGTTTGTTACTTCATTTTGAGGGGTTGCGATTTTTTTACAGCTTTTTTATGGCACATTTCTAATTCAACCTATGGAAAGAATGCTCAAAGTTTCTTGCTGTTCAATAAAGCATAATACCTGTACAGATACAGGTGATTTCAAAACAGAACAATGAAAATAGCAGTATAATAATATTAAAACTATTAACTAGTTTGGATAAATAAAGCTTTATAACCTATTGAAGTTGTTTGCATAGAACATTCACACTTACATCAGCACAAAATAGAAACAGGTGATGCCAAACGCAGCCATAAGGAAAGAATGTGACAGACAGGTGCAGGACATGTTAGAAGCAAATATCAGTCAGCCCAGTTCTTCTGAAGGACACTCTCCTGTTGTCATGGTTAAAAAACGGAATAGCACTTACCACTTTGCCGTAGATTATAGACGCCCCAATGCAGTTACCAAGCCTATATTTCCCCCTCTACCACGCTTTGAAGATGACATTGATGCAACATATAGGCGACATTTTCAGTGTCCTTGATTGTGCTAGTGGTTTTGGACAAACATCACTCCATCCAGATGCAAAAAAGAAGTCGGCTCTCATTACACCTGATGATATTTTTGAATGGAATTGGCCCCCTTTCGGTCTAAAATATACTCCTGTAGCATTTCGGCAAACCATTTCAGTCACTAAAAGAAATAAACTGGCGTTACATATTAATATATGTAGATGCCATCATAATATTTTCTTAAACGTTTTCAGAACATTTGAATTTCTCCAAGGCTTTATTCCAAGAGATCAAAGAAGAAGGTCTCAATGTAAATTCGACAAAATTCAACAAAACAAGTCACCTACTTAGGGCATATCATCAGCAAACATTGCATCCATGTCGATCCTTCAAAAATAGATTCAGTCACACAGATCCCATCCCCTAAAAATGTCCATGTCATGAGTCTCGTATTACCGAAAATGTGTAGCAATTTTTTCTTGCATCACTTCTCCTCTATAGAACCTTCAGAAAAAAACTTGTGTTTCAAATGATCCAAAAGTTGCCAACAGGCAATCACAAAGCTTATGCAAGCCGCCCAATCCTTGCATATCCCGACCAAGAGAAACCCTTTATCCTCACAACTGATACATCTCAATCTGCAATAGGGTACATTTGAGGCCAACTTGATTATCATTGGATAACTTGTAATGATGTTGATAATTCATATCTTTTGACAATTCACGTATCTTCCGTGACATTATCTCTGTTCTGTTTTGGGAACAACTAATGCTCATTGGTAACGTTTCTTTTGCTCGTCAGTTGAGTTTATTGCAATAAACTGTTTTTAATTATATATATGTTTATGTTGTATATTTTTCAAGTAAGGGTAAATGATGCTTAATGGGCATTTCACATCACAGTCAACAACTGTTTCACCCATATCACAGTGGGGCACGCGGAATCATTAACCTTGTCCAAGGATACAATTTAATTACACATAACATCATATGTCCTCTTGAAATGGAAGAATTGAAATGATGATCAATAAATAAGGGTTACAGACATATTGTCTCTCATGGTGATGCCTCCCTGTCAACGATTATGGCTTTGGCAAGCAATACTCACTATTAATGAGGAACCCCATATTGCGGTCGCGCCTTTTTATTGAGGCTGAGTGGTTGTTTATTTTTGAAGAAAATGGAGGCTGAGTTTTCTATTTTCATAAAAATTTGAGTTTCGTTTTCTTGAAAGAAAAAATCAATTGGTCCGCCCCTTAGGTATTACTTGTAATGGAAATGTACGAAATACCACTTGCGCAAGTGTATGTGTTAACACATTTGGCAGAATTCACATGTACATGTGTATTCAGTTGATTAATCCATACATGATAAACATAATTGCATGCACCAATTCCCATAGACAATTAAATACACATACATCATGAAAGCGGCACAGGTGGCCCAATCGTCTAAAACTTCACAATTCTCTGTGAAGAGTTGCGTCCCTTGGACACGCAAGAAACGATGATCATGGATTTGAATCCCAGTTCGCTGCGATTATGTTTCTAGGTTTGCAAGCACCATTCCCGTGCTCGTGGGTTTCACCAAAGTGGAAAAGATCTGAGATCTGCATCACTTCTGGCTTTCCTCGCACATGAATCCGACACAGTGTGATAAAAACATACTCGGAATATTGTTAATAGCGACGTTAGACCAAACTCACTCATTCACATATAGTATGACTCTTTATTATCGCGGTATCGGTAAGTCTCATAATCCACACCCCTGTCGACTGTTTACTTGTGCAAATCTCAGAGCGATATTTCATCGCTTGATCAAATACCTGACTGTATGTCACGGCTACTGGTAAGTATACATATTAACTTATATGATAGTTCCTGGAATGTATCTCGGATGTATTCCGCCATTTTCGCTGGAGTGTTGCCAAATACCTGGATTTATGTGATCGATATGTGCAAATAAAATTATAATCCAATCATTTCTCTGTTCTCATACAACAACCGACAACACATATCGACTGCATTATTTGTATTAGGGTTGTAAGTATGGTAATCAGTATACAGAGAACGCAACACTGTTGTGGTAGATTGAAGTGACACCCGTTGGGTGGATGTGCGAGGGTCTTGGGCAAGTGTCACCCACTGTTGGAGATAGACGACGCATTAATGTGAGTCAAGGGAGAGGTGTACCGCATATTGTTGGGCACACAGACGAGGCAATAATGTGAACCAAGGTCGACTGTGAACCACATGTACATCGCGGATGTGATGTTTGCCACGGACGGGGTGGAGCAGACACGAATGGATGTGGGTCACGTCGTTCAAGGTGTCAAACACTGTTTTGGCACATGTACGAGGATTGATGTGAGTCGAAGATGAGGTGGGTCAGACAGTTGTGGCGTGCGAACAATGCATCGATTTGGGTCACGGTCGACATGTGTCAGTCACAGCTGATCAAATAGACGGGGTATTAATGTGATCAACGGAAGGAATTTACCAGGCTCTGTCCTGACAGATGAATGAGTTATTGCGTTGTGAATACCGCTGTTCTCTGAGATAGATAGGGCGCTACTGTGAGACATGGTCGAGTTTCTGTCCTTCACTTTGTAACAGTGTCGAAATATGTCATGCACCCAACGAAGTAATTATATCTAACATTTTGCATGCTCTCTGGGCTTAATTCTTGGAGTCTAACACCCAAAGTAGTGCCTGTATTAGTTATTATTTATTTCTTAAATATGCTGTTTTTGTTGGGAAAACATTAAGCCCTTGGGTAATCGATAAAAAGCATTATTCATCTCTACGGGAAAATGTAGCAATACATATGACTGTCAAAAGTATATTTATTTTAAATAAAAACAAATACCATTCCACACCACAGCTGACACATATGAATTTCAATTGGCTTTACAGTCAGTCATGCAAAATGTACTAAATAATATTATAATTAAAAGACAAAATGGGGAGTTTGGAAATAAAATATATAAACATCATACGGGTACAAGATGCGCCATGACATCAGGAACATTCTTGCAAGACATTGTGTCATTTCATTTGCTCTACTTGGGCGAGAAGCTATTTCTATTCGTGAATAGATCAAAGAGCAGGAGGTATAATGTCACAGCTGCCCCAAGTCTATGAAATCGACCTGAAACAAGCCACCTTACATACATTTTCAGCTCTTTCACCCCAGTGTACTCTCAGCAATAGTATGGTTGATTTAGTCTAACTTGGTTTGGCGTCACTGCCCTTGTAGTACAATATTTACGATGTTTCTGTTCGTACAATCACATAAATATGCACGATAGCTTTTGCAGTAAATTCGTGATACTGGATATTCTGGTTCATCATTTCGTTGTCCAGTTGGTTTACAGGTCGCCGACGTATGGCATAGGTACTCCTATATGGTGTTTGGGAACAAATAGACACTATTTTTTTAATGAAAATTGTTTGAGTGGCTGGTGCTACCGGTGGTGCAGGACGCTTACCCTTTTCGCGAACATTTGGTTTCATCACTGATTTTGAGAGATCCATTTGTATAGTTTTCGCCCGGAATTTCGGCGAATGATCGCAGCTGGTTGTTTTCTGTCCTTTAACGTTTTTGTATTTGCTCATGAAATAGCTTCTTCGTAATACTATAAGGCTATATAATCATTATCGCTGCCCCTAGATCGGCATACATGCAATAAATAGTATTCATTTTCGTGTAGGCATGAAGCGTACAGTGGAGCAGGTTCCTCATGCTGAGGTCCTGTTGTAGGTTAAGTGATATGAAATGGGTTTAACGTCGCGTTCAAGGTTCTTTCACAAGGTTCCATGATCATACACGTGTGTGTAGTTTGCATGACTTCTGTGCCTTATGGAGCTAGCTCACTGAGATGGCATTCCGCAGTTAGAAAATGGATACCCCCATTGCCACACAGACACATTAAACTGACTCCGAGTCGGTCCGTCATTTTTAATCACCTATCGCCAGGCAGGGTAACAAGTACTGCCATTTAACGTCTTCAGGTATGACACCAAAGGCTCTATGTACTGCTCCATGGACCGGAGTTTCTTTCATATTGTAGAATAAAATAAATTGATTTTCACACAAATATACTGACACATGATACTGGTATATAAGAGAGCTAGGCGACATATGAAGAACGAAACGTGTTTTATTTGACGATAAATATTGTTCTATTATGACGTCATTTCCGGAGATTCGATAATGCGCTCGCAACTTGATGTCGTCATAAATTGGATGACGTTGTTTTTAGAGGGAAGTGTCCAGTGAGATGGTTTCCCCTGTTCATGGACTTGTCCGAAACTTCCGAGGTCGAATTGTATTCCAGTAGTCATCTATATTTAAATACGGGTAGATGATTTTGAAGCTTGTACATTCTATTAACATCGTTAATGTGAATATAACCTTAAAGAAATAACGACGAGTATAGGGAAGCTGTGCCTCTCATGGTTTTATATCCCTGCAATGTTTTATTTTACGATAAACAACTTCCACTCGTCCTTTATTTCGTAAGTAAAATGAACTGTGAAAATAATCATCATTTGATCGATGAAACAACTTAAGAATATTGGGTTTATGTGCAGAACGTTTCGTTCCCTTTTATGTGAACACAACGATGGATGCAAGTGACATCATTGACAAACCTACTGTAATACACATTAATCTTGTTTATCAACATACATCTTGTGTTCGTTTTCATTTGTATAATATATAAATGTAATTATATTAAATAATATATTCATATAATATATCTTTTAAGTTATGCATAGTCTCGGCATATAATATAAAGCAGACAAGGTTTGATTCACACAGTATGCGTCTTGCATAACTATTATTTAATGCATGTACAACTGCTCAAATCATCAGTAAAGTTTCCAAAGCGTTTTATGGTTGACAGGTGAGGGACACCTCCAAATTTGACGCATCAGTAACAAAAAAATGACCGATGCAATTGCATGTCTGGACAAATATGTTCTCGTGTTGTTTGTGTTTTATAGGTGAACAATTGATTTGCCCGTGCATGTGTTTGTGACGGGTGCTCCCCGTGGCGCATCTTGCGCTCACCTTATCACGAACACCTGGTATCGTCCCTTTTTGATAGTGATTCATAAACCCATTATTATGATATAGTCGAAATCTTACAATGGACATTGCGTACCAGAGATTTTCTTTTACGCCCATTGGCATTTGTTTCGGTTGATAATCGAGAGTCTCTGTATATCAATCTGGCGTTGACGTTTTTTTAATAATATATGATGATGGTAATGTTTTGGTCGCTTTTATTTGTTACTGAGTTCGTGTGTCATCACTTACATGGCGTTGCAACAATACTGTTTCAGTGTGTTTTGTTGGTTTAGAATTTATTTGATAGTGACGGTGTTATCTTTCTCGTGAAAAATTGGCCCCTTGCGTTAAGACAAATGTTTAAATATAAACAAAATACATCAGTCATTATTATTCAGCCTAGGGATCAACAATGTTTAAAGATTTTTACAGTGTTGTAATCACCCTAGGCAAGCGGCTTATTTCAAATGTGCCTCTGATCACCCGGCATGGAATGGGTACCCGACAGGTGAAATGGATGCAAATTCCCTCTAGCGCACCTTGGCAGCTTGTGTTGTATACTCCCGAGGGAGCTGAGAATGACGACTGGAAGTCAAATGAACCCACTGGTCGGGGAACAAATGAACCGCAGATACTAGTACATGGATAAGTGCGGTATATATATTTATGACAATAATGATAATTAGCCATATCATTATCATGTAATCAATAACACTGGAATATCGCAAATTTATGTAAACTAGTAAAAGTGAATATAATCTTGGTAACCCATTATATTGAAAGAAATGCCAGGCTTACACGGCCACATAGATCCACGCTGGCGCACATATACACACGCGAAGATGTACACACACCGAGGCTCATATACACTGCAGTTACTGGAAAGCTGAATGTGTTATTTGAATTTTATTGAGTTAAAAATAGTACAGTAAACTACGGTTATAACGAACTCAAAGGGACCACTAATTTTAGTTCGTAATAACCGTAGTTCGTTATAGGCATATATACAGCATTTATACAACAAATGGTCGGGACTAAAAAATAAGTTCGTTATATAGGTCAGTTCGTTATAAGCGTGTTCGTTATAAATGAACTTTACTGCAATGTATTAAAATCAATTTATTGTCGCTACCTGTGTAGCGTTCATAGAAACATGGTCTGTGCACACTATTATGAAGCTATTGATCAACCTACACGATACTTATGCATAATGGCATTACAGTAATGTACCAACATCTTGCCTTTGAGTAGCATCGTCCATCATCGTCACTTGTGACACCGACGACAGATCAAACAACCCACAGTCTCGAAATAACGCTAGGAGTAATATTCAAATGGCGACCACCTTGACTTTCAGGTGACCATGTTTCTAAATAAATGAAACTTAAGTTAATTTCGTCCAAAATACATGTCGAAATAACATTAACTATACCTCTCCAAATGATATCGTATGTAATATGCTAAAAACATCCTTCCTTCCTTCCTTCCTTCCTTCTTCCATTCATTCATTCACTCATTCACGTTGTAAAGCTTTCACTGTGCGAGTTGTTACTCAGTTTATTTGGCTGGGTGAACAAACAGCTGCCTGGTCTTCCCTGCTGTAGACAAAGGTAGATAACTCTAGGTAACTTCAGTGAGAAATGTACACAAGTCTACGGTCATGTTGCCTCTCCCTTGTTGTTACCAACAAGAGCGGAGCTCTCTATAATATCGCTGCCACCAGTCAAACTTCCCCACTGTGATAGGTAGCTCCAACCATGCTTGGAGTTGAACTCGCAACCGACTGACCGTTATGTTTACAAACAAGCGATACATGTCAAAATACAAGTCAAAATACATGATACTCATACCATTCAACATGAAATATACTACTAAAAAAATGTCGTATATAATATGCTAAACGCATTCATTCATTCGTTCGTTCTTTCGTTCGTTCGTTCGTTCGTTCGTTCGTTCGCTCGTGCTAATGTTTCAATGTGCGAGTTGTTATTCAGCTGCCTTGTCTTCCCTGCTGCAGACAAAGGTAGACAACTCTAGGTTTCTTTAGTGAGAAGTGTGAACAAATTTACGGTCATGTTGCTGAACCTAACTTCTAGCTTTCCCAATGTGTGGACCTATTCCTGTGTGCATTGTACATAATCTACGTACCCATCCTAAAAAATCATACATGACCAAATACATTGTACATATTAGTCATTAATATGTTCTGGTCAAGATGATGAGTGTGTGAGTTATTTGTAACGCTTTGAAAAGTATTGGGATTATGACACGGCGAGTCAGCTTAATTCCAAGATGACCCAAGAGCACTGGAAGGGTAATGACAGATCAATGACCATATAACAGGAAGCCACAATCAGGAGTCCCCGGAACGACGAAGTGCAATACCGTAGTCTCGCTTGAATATTCGTGCATTCGGACTAAAAGAAACACAAGTCCCCTTTTTGAAGTCGTATATTATATAGTTTATATAATAATCTATCCGCCCAACACCAAAATCAAAACTCTTGTTTTAGCAAAAGAAATAGATATGAAAATAAACTGTGAACAAGTTGTTCAATATTATCCTTATTCTAATAGCAACATTGGATTGTTAATGGCAGATCAATTGCAGAGGTGAGCGACAGACGCTTACACACACAACAATACCTTACTGTTGCATCGTGTTTCAATGGGCAAATGTTACACAGAATCAATAGTGAACGTAAACGGTAAAGATCAGCTTGTGAGCAGTACACTTATTTGGGCGTTAGGGAAGGGTTGGGTTACCAACGTCCACAGGTACAACAGGATTGTACCGTCAGTAATGTAACAAGATGTACCATGGAATGAGCATCCGCTTTAAAATCCGTGGATGATGAATCTAGCCGAAGGATTTTTTGGGACTATAATGCTGAAGGAAAATGATACTAATCGAGATAATATGGGACGTTGGACTGTGCTGGATGCTGTGGATCATGATACCTCATATTTCACACGGTAACCCCACCTTTTTCACAACGTAAAACTAGAGCAAATATTCGTTAACGCCAACTTTTTCAACTCAGTATATTGTTTCTGGCGCTATCAAACTATCAGTTAACTTTATTTGAGAATATAAGGCATTGGGTGTGTGTATAAATGCTGAAGAAAGCTAGGTTTTTTTCTTCCATTTTAGTGTATGGCTAACTTTCAAGATTCTTAAACACACACATTGTCCTGTTCTGCATTGTGTTCTTATATCTTGACTCGGTATATCGGCACTTCGCTTACCTCCAAGTACTTTAAGTTCAATGGTCCAGTACATCCAATGAACGATGTTTCAGATAACGCAGTTTTATACTAATCCAAGAAGTCAATCAGTAGACGGCTATGTTTCCGATAACTTATAACAATACTGTATACTAATGTAACGCAATAGTAATACTAATACCATTATTATATTTGAAGGGATGAAATACATTTCAGTACTTTGCTTTCTTTTCACAAGGTGCCACCTGTCCAGCGAATGCAAATGGTATGTATTTAGCAGTGTGTGTTTGAAAACTTGTGGCTTAACTAAAGATACAAGAAGAAATTTGAAGTAGAAGTAGAAGATATTGTGTCAATGAAGTTACATTCCATAAGTCATCTCTGTATTCTTTCATACAAGTCCACGTTGAAATTTATATCAGATAGCCTTGACCTGTAGTATTTTTTTCAGCAATACTACACAAATTACAGTCTATAAACAAACCCAGTAGGAGAAGAGAAACGCTCTTCCAAGCTCGGTGCACAATACGTCGGGATGGGTACGCAATACATCGGTTATGCTCTAGAATATATCTGGTTGGGTAGTAGGTATACACGAGATGGGGAAGGACACTTAATTCATAGTGTTTGGTTGTGGATGCACAGTAGATTGGGAAGGACACATAATTCACAGTGCTTGGTTGTGGATATATAGTAGACTGGAAAGGACACATACTTTATAGTGCTTGGTTGTGGGATGTTGATACACACGAGATTGGGTAGGACACATAATACATACTGCTTGGTTGTGAATACACAGTGTATTGGATAGGACACATAATTCATAGTGCTATGTTGAGGATACACACGAGATCGGGAAGGAAACATAATTCATAGTGCTGGCTTGTGAATACACAGTGTATCGGATAGGACACATAAGTCCTAGAGCTGGGTTGCAAATTCACAGTGTATCGGGAAAGACACATAATTCATAGTGCTTGGTTGTAGATACACGGTATATCGGATAGGACACATAATTCATAGTGCTTGGTTGTGGATACACAGTAGATCGGGGAGGACATATAATTCATAGTGCTTGGTTGTGGATACACACGAGATTGGGTAAGACACTTAATTCATATTGCTGGGTTGTTGATACACAGTTTATCGGATAGGACACATAATTCATAGTGCTGGGTTGTGGCTTGTTTTTTTTGTGGATACACACGAGATTGGGTAAGACACTTAATTCATAGTGCTGGGTTGTTGATACACAGTTTATCGGATAGGACACATAATTCATAGTGCTGGGTTGTGGCTTGTTTTTTTGTGGATACACACGAGATTGGGTAAGACACTTAATTCATAGTGCTGGGTTGTTGATACACAGTTTATCGGATAGGACACATAATTCATAGTGCTGGGTTATGGCTTGTTTTTTTGTGGATACACACGAGATTGGGTAAGACACTTAATTCATATTGCTGGGTTGTTGATACACAGTTTATCGGATAGGACACATAATTCATAGTGCTGGGTTGTGGCTTGTTTTTTTGTGGATACACACGAGATTGGGTAAGACACTTAATTCATAGTGCTGGGTTGTTGATACACAGTTTATCGGATAGGACACATAATTCATAGTGCTGGGTTGTGGCTTGTTTTTTTGTGGATACACACGAGATTGGGTAAGACACTTAATTCATATTGCTGGGTTGTGGATACACAGTAGATCGGGAAATACACATAATTCATAGTGCTGGTTTGTAGATACACGGTGTATCGGACAAGACACATAATTCATAGAGCTGGGTTGTGGATACACAGCAGATCGGGTTGGGCACACAATATAGAAGAGACGGTACACAGTACGTCAGGAATGATGCAATGTACATCGGTCTTAGTAGCACAAATTGTAAATATAACCTTATATCAAAATATGATTTATTATTGCCATTAATACAATGCTTCTTCGAGATTGAACAAAACGTTTTAAGTATTGACAATCATGAACTAAACTGCTATTCTAACCATAACCCATGCCAAGACCATATGTTTATTTAAAATTATTCACATAAAAAGTAACGTGCAAGAACATGTGTGTGTCACTATGTTAGTCTTACGTATTTGCGTCTTTTTACAGTTGTGAATATGTGCCAATCTGACGTCAAACAGTCACCCTCGCTGTACTTGGACGGCGTGGATTCAGACGGTTTCACCGGCTCCTGTACGTGTCGGCTCCAGGCGGTAGACGGACCTATAAACTTCACAGTGTCAGCCGAGGCCATTGCTACAAACTGTCAGGCACTGTTGTATTCCACATCAATCAAGATCCTTATCAAATGTGATGGGTCATCTCCTGAGCCTGTGATTGGAACTCTGCAGCCTGGGAATGGCGCGTTTGTTACTCTTGTCAGACAGAACAAAGATGAAACAGTTGGATTTTGTGTCCATATACAGCAAGCTGGCGGAGGTAGGTCTAGCCTAGGTGGAACACTGTGGTAGTCAGATTATTACTCAGGTGGTGTGTATATGAACCACTAGCCTAGAATAGCATAATAATAGTCAAAACAATTTGGTGGGGCATTTATGTCCCAGGTGGACCACTGTTATTGTCCAAACGTCACTAAGGTAGCGAACTTGTGTAAATTTGCCGTGGGATAACATGGTACGGGAAGTAGACATGAAGGCTGGACACTACGACAGGCGCAGTGATAGTACGGTGTAGAGTACGTATAATCTGCACGCAGGAGGAACACTATGATAGACACAACAGCAGTGCGTTGTGTAGGTACGTGTAGCCTAAATGTAGGTGGAACACTTCAATAGACACAACATCAGTACGGTGTTGGGGTATGTAAAGCCTTAATATGGGCGGAACACTTCAATAGACACAACAGCAGTACGGTGTTGGGGTACGTATAGCCTTAATATAGGCGGAATACTTCGATAGGCACAACAGCAGTACGGTGTGGGGGTACGTGTAGCCTAAATATAGGCGGAATACTTCGATAGGCACAACAGCAGTACGGTGTGGGGGTACGTGTAGCCTGAATATAGGCGGAATACTTCGATAGGCGCATAGCCTAAATGTGATGTAACACAAAAGTGAAGAAATAGTAAACACAGTACTGATAGCCTATATGTAGGGTGGACACTATGATAGACAGCAGTAGTAAAGTGGGGGACATATAGCCTACATGTAGGGTGGACACTATGGTAGACAGCAGTAGTACAGTGGTATACGTATAACTTACATGTAGGTTGGACACTAAGGTAGACAGCAGTAGTAGAGTGGTATACGCATAGACTACATGAAGGTTGGACGCTATGATAGAAAGCAGTAGTAGAATGGGGAACGTATAGCCTACATGTAGGTTGGACACTATGGTAGACAGCTGTAGTAGAATGGGGTTCGTATAACCTATATGTAGGTTGGACACTGTGGTAGACAGCAGTAGTAAAGTGGTATACGTATAGACTACATGAAGGTTGGACACTATGATAGAAAGCAGTAGTAGAGTTGGGTACGTATATCCTACATGTAGGTTGGACACTATGATAGACAGCTAAAGTAGAGTGGGGTACGTATAGCCCACATATAGGGTGGACACTAAGATAGACAGCTGTAGTAGAGTGGTATACGTATAGCCCACATGTAGGGTGGACACTATGGTAGACAACAGTAGTAGAATGGGGTACATATAACCTACATGTAGGGTGGACACTATGATAGACAGCAGTAGTAGAGTGGGGTACGTATATCCTACATGTTGGCTGGACACTATGGTAGACAGCAGTAGTAGAGTGGGGTACGTATATCCTACATGTTGGTTGGACACTATGGTAGACAGCAGTAGTAGAGTGGTATACGTATAGCCTATATGTAGGTTGGACACTATGGTAGACAGCAGTAGTAGAGTGGGGTACGTATATCCTACATGTTGGTTGGACACTATGGTAGACAGCAGTAGTAGAGTGGGGTACATATAGCCTACATGTAGGGTGGACACTATGATAGACAGCTGTAGTAGAATGGGGGAAGTATAGCCTACATGTAGGGTGGACACTATGATAGACAACAGTAGCAGAATGGGGGACGTATAGCCTACATGTAGGGTGGACACTATGATAGACAGCTCGAGTAGAATGGGGGACATATAGCCTACATGTAGGTTGGACACTATGATAGACAGCAGTATTAGAGTGGTATACGTATAGCCTATATGTAGGTTGGACACTATGGTAGACAGCAGTAGCAGAGTAGGGTACGTATAGCCCACATGAACATTGTAGGTTGGACACTATGGTAGACAGCAGTAGCAGAGTAGGGTACGTATAGCCCACATGAACATTGTAGGTTGGACACTATGGTAGACAGCAGTAGTAGAGTGGGGTACGTATATCCTACATGTTGGTTGGACACTATGATAGACAGCAGTAGTAGAGTGGGGTACATATAGCCTACATGTAGGGTGGACACTATGATAGACAGCTGTAGTAGAATGGGGGAAGTATAGCCTACATGTAGGGTGGACACTATGATAGACAACAGTAGCAGAATGGGGGACGTATAGCCTACATGTAGGGTGGACACTATGATAGACAGCTCGAGTAGAATGGGGGACATACATGTATAGCCTACATGTAGGTTGGACACTATGATAGACAGCAGTATTAGAGTGGTATACGTATAGCCTATATGTAGGTTGGACACTATGGTAGACAGCAGTAGCAGAGTAGGGTACGTATAGCCCACATGAACATTGTAGGTTGGACACTATGGTAGACAGCAGTAGTAGAGTGGTATACGTATAGCCTATATGTAGGTTGGACACTATGGTAGACAGCAGTAGTAGAATGGGGTACGTATATCCTACATGTTGGTTGGACACTATGGTAGACAGCAGTAGTACAGTGGTATACGTATAGCCTACCTGTAGGTTTGTACACTATGATAGACAGCAGTAGTAGAGTGGGGTACATATAGCCTACATGTAGGTTGGACACTATGATAGTAAGCAGTAGTAGAATGGGGGACGTATATCCTACATGTTGGTTGGACACTATGGTAGACAGCAGTAGTAGAATGGGGTACGTATAGCCTACATGTAGGTTGGACACTATGGTAGACAGCAGTAGTAGAATGGGGTACGTATATCCTACATGTTGGTTGGACACTATAGTAGACAGCAGTAGTACAGTGGTATACGTATAGCCTACCTGTAGGTTGTACACTATGATAGACATCAGTAGTAGAGTGGGGTACATATAGCCTACATGTAGGTTGGACACTATGATAGTAAGCAGTAGTAGAATGGGGGACGTATAGCCTACATGTAGGGTGGACACTATGATAGACAGCAGTAGTAGAGTGGGGTACATATAGCCTACATGTAGGGTGGACACTATGATAGACAGCAATAGTAGAGTTGTATACGTATAGCCTACATGTAGGGTGGACACTATGATAGACAGCAGTAGTAGAATGGGGGACGTATAGCCTACATGTAGGGTGGACACTATGATAGACAGCAGTAGTAGAGTGGGGTACGTATAGCCTACATGTAGGGTGGACACTATGATAGACAGCAGTAGTAGAGTGGGGTACATATAGCCTACATGTAGGTTGGACACTATGATAGTAAGCAGTAGTAGAATGGGGGACGTATAGCCTACATGTAGGGTGGACACTATGATAGACAGCAGTAGTAGAGTGGGGTACATATAGCCTACATGTAGGGTGGACACTATGATAGACAGCAATAGTAGAGTTGTATACGTATAGCCTACATGTAGGGTGGACACTATGATAGACAGCAGTAGTAGAATGGGGTACGTATAGCCTACATGTAGGGTGGACACTATGATAGACAGCAGTAGTAGAATGGGGTACGTATAGCCTACATGTAGGTTGGACACTATGGTAGACAGCTGTAGTAAATCGGTATACGTATAGCCTACATGTAGGGTGGACACTATGATAGACAGCAGTAGTAGAGTTGGGGACATATTGCCTACATGTAGGGTGGACACTATGATAGTAAGCAGTAGTAGAGTGGGGTACATATACACTACTGCCTAGAAGTTCATTCCCCTTACACGCATGGGCAACGCGTTACGCAACCAGTGTGCATCGGGTTGGTCACGCGTGTGAGACCCGTGTGCAACGCGTTGCACACGGGTGTGCACCCCGTCCGCCACTCGTGTGCAACGCGTGACACACTCATTAGAGGGGGAACAAACTTTTGACCAAAGGAGGACCCGTCTTAAGCTGAACCTGGAGGTGGTAACAAGGAGAGAAAATTTTGTTATCCTGACGAAAAATGATAATACACATGTATTTCCTAATGTCTCCTTTCTTTATGTGATTTTGTGGGAATAACATGAATACTGTTGCGATTAAATAGATCTGTTTTGTTTTATACGACCATTGCTTCTAAATCCGATGGTGTTAATTAAGAGAATACATGGTCCTGGAACATGTTATTGCAATTGAAATGCTTTTATTGTGATTTGACATTAACCGTCTGTAGTACGACTTTCAGTGATAATATGTATGAGGTTTGGCGGCGCATTGTTTTTATTGGACCCTGATTACTTTATGATGACTTGGACTCTTTATCACAGCTCCATAGCCGTGAGGCTGGAAAAGAGCAGCATGTAATTAATGAGGGTGGGTTATATCATTGAGGATACACTTGAGGGAGAGAATACTAATTACCGTACTACAGGAAGAGACCTGTAGACGTAAGCGCGGGGTTGTGTTTTAGCTGGCCGTTTGATAATGGCCGCCAGGAGAAGTGAGCTTTGCCTGCATCATCTAAAATAAATAATAAGATACAGCAGTGTTATTTTCACGGTCTGTTGAATAAACTCCCAGCGCAACGGTCAATGTATCTTCTACTTGATCCTTGATACATCATTTTGTCTTTCACAATATATAGTATTTCAACGTACAAAGGACACTGATCTAAAGCAATTCCGCGGGAGTAGTTGTTACCTGTGCATTACTGTATTTTCCCAGTGAGTACCCGGATGATATAGCAGAAATCTAGACTTGTTCGCGACCTTTGCTCGCCATTCGTAAGCGCATTTTAATTGAAAGTAGAAGGACGTATGGTCACACTGATCAACAAAAATGAAATACAGTTTTTGAAATGTAGGTATATTTGTGGGGAGCATCGGTAATGGTGATGCAGTTTTGATAAGTCACTTGCTTAGTAATTGTGCAATCTTCGTGTACACTATTTTGACTTGCAACACAGAGTAAATATTTCACTGAACATTGCTTATTTTACCGTGTGTATATGTTTACATTCAAAATGTAAACAGATTTCACTAAGGAAATGTATTAAAACGCCTAAATATTCAGTTTATTTCACAAATTAACTGAAAAATATGTCCATCTTTATTAATATGATAACGAATTCCAAATATGTTTAATACCATCACCAAGTACAGTTCTGTATT